TGGAAGAAGCAGAAGACTACAGTGTTTCCCTGAAAATAAGACCCTGTCTTATATTTTTTTGAACCCCGAAATAAGCGCTTGGCCTTATTTTCAGGGAGTTATTATTATTTTGGGGCCCGTGGAGCGAGACAGGGATCCTCTTGCTGTCTTATTTGATTTCCAGCTCTGTCTCTCTAACCCTAACCAGAGGAAATGGCGGGGACAGGCTGCCCATGCGTTTAAATATTTTCAAGGATGGCTTATTTTTTGGGAGATCTTATTTTCAGGGAGGTCTTATTTTGGGGGGAGGTCTTATTTTCGGGGAAATATGGTAGGAGGCAGGCAGGCAGAAGGTTCTTGCCAAAAGAGCTGCGGGTATCGTAAAAATCATGTCCCCTCAGCTCTTGAACCCAACGCTTACCAGAGCTGTTCTTTTCAAAACCAAAGCCTTCGAGGGAGCCATGGGGGCTAGACCTATTTCCCATACCTAGGAAGAGAGACATGAAAGGAACTTTACAAGAGGAGTCTGAATCCAGCATGGTGCTGCTGCAGGCAGCTCACGTGCTTTTCTCCACTTTCTCAGCATCATATTAAAATAACGTTATCAGCAATTATTTTTATTCTACCATCATTATTTTATAAATAAGGCAGCAAACATATCTAATATTCCTTCCTCCTTCTATTTCCCCCACAACAACCCTGTGAGGTTGGTTGGGCCGAGAGAGAGGAACTGGCCCAAAGTCATCCAGCTATCTTTCTTGCCTAAGGCAGAACTAGAACTCACAGTCTCTTGGTTTCTAGGCCAGCACCTTAACCACTATCCCAAACTCCATTGACATTCTATTCATTCAAATAAAGAAATGGTCACAAACTGCCACTGAGATAAGAAGGCTCAGATATTTTGAGAACTGCTTCCTCTCAGAAAATAACCACCAGATTGTACATCAGGGGTGAAATGCTCCTGGTTCGGACCGGATCGGGCAATCCGGCAGCGATTGTGGCAGGTGGTTCAGCGAAGCAGTAGCGATGGCAGCGCGAGGCTCCACCCACCCGCCCTGGTTTTAACCAGGAAGTAATGTGTTTTTTACCCTCTGCGCATGCGCAGAAGGTTTTGCACATATTTTTTTAACTGAAAAAGGTAATACAGGGGATCTTCACAAGCATTACGGTCTTATCTTGGCAGTATTGGTTTACCTGATGAAGGCAGCTCTTTAGGTGGCTGAGTAACACATTGAGGCAACAGAACATCTGAAAATAAAGTGCCTGCCAGGTCCTACAAGGGGAGAGGCAAGCAAAGAGCAATGTGATGAATGGTCATACAGAAAGCCCTTCTACATAGCAGGCTTTGAGAGTATCGAGATCTCATAATTGGGTCTTGTCACTCACCTGTGCAGTCATTCGCACCTTCTGATACAAGCTGTTGCCATGGAGTGGATCAGGAGGCCCTGTGAATCCTACAAGGTAGAGGAGAGAGATGGTGAGGCAGCAAAAGAGCAGAATCCATGCATGCTTTGCATAGGTTTCACTCCTTATAGAATCCTAAAAACAGCATCAGCCAAAGCAGCTGAGTCTGTTTTGCAGCAGTGAAAAAATATCTTATACAACAAGTTCCATATCAACAATCCTAGTACAAAACATGCCCTCAACAGAGAAAGTAATAGCAATAGCACTTGGACTTATCTACCACTTCATAATGCTTTACAGCACTCTCTAAGCGGTTTACAATGTCAGCATATTGCCCCCAACAATCTGGATCCTTATTTTACTGAAGAATGGAAGGTTGAGTCAATCGTGAGCCGATTAGGATCAAACTCCTGGTCGTGGGTAGAGTTAGCCTGCAATACTGCATTCTAACCACTGCACCACCATGGCTCCTAAGTACCACAATCACAAAGAGTTATATAATAACGATCACTTGTGACTTTCATATTGATGTAGAATAATGAGGTTTTATGCATGCAAATGTGCGCGGGAAAAATACCCAGAAATAGTTGCCAATCCACCTCACCTCCCTCTTCCCTCTGCCATAGAAAATAAAGTGAGCAAGAGAGATATCTATAGTCAAAGTTGTCCACTAGGAGCAACACCTTCAACTTATCTGAAAAATTAAAATAATTAAAATGTTTATTTTATTGGAGCAGTCTTCTTGGCAGGGAAAGATACTTTAGAACTGATAGTACTATGACAGCTCTGTTCTTCTCATGGACTACTGATGACAAGATCTGGAGAGGGGAAAATTGTTTTCTCCCATTTGCTTCTAGTGTAGTGTCAATTTTTCCATGTATGCCGCGGTGGCGCAGTGCTTAGAGTGCAGTACTGCAAGCTACTTCTGCTGATCACAGGCTGCCAGCAATTTGGCAGATTGAATCTCACAAGGCTCAAGGCTCAAGGTTGACTCAGCCTTCCATCCTTCCAAGGTCAGTAAAATAAGGACCCAGAGTGTTGGGGGCAATATGCTGACTCTGTAAACCACTTAGAGAGGGCTGTAAAGCACCATGAAGCAGTATATAAGTCTAAGTACTGTTGCTATTGCTATGCTTAACCCAGGAGATCAGTGGGACCTATTCCCTGATGGTTATATAACTAATAGTTATATTTGATCTGTGAATCAAGACCCACACTTACTAACTAGCCTTAGGCAAACCTATCTTTTCTCAGTATCAAACCCTTCAGTTGTAATGTATGACAATAACATTAACCCTGCTGCTGTTTTTTTCAGTTTGTGTAAAAGAGATCACATAGGTGCTGAACGAACATTATATAACTATTATTAGGAAGACATAGTTATTCTTGTTGGAATCTCTGACCTACCTATGGCTTCCTGAATGAATGAAGAATTCCTCTTAAGCTGCAGAAGGAAAGGTGACGAGCCATGGGTACACATATAGAGCAGGATCTTAAGCACCTAAGAATGCAGAAGCTAAGTTGGGATTGTGAAAATAGATTTAAAAATATAAATCTTTGCTTTTGTTTCAAAGGATGCCTACTCCAAAGAGCAACTCTAGTTTTGGCCACATTCTTTCAAGCCACTTTTTTACCTTTAGCTTGATATGGCATGAGTTGCTCTGAAGACGATTGAGGAGGTATTCAAGAAGACAGTGACTGCTTCCTGTTGATTCATGGGAGATCTCTGAGAGTTTATGTTAAAGAGTTAGCAAAATAAAGGAACTGATAGACAAGCATCACTCAAACTTTTGTGCCAGTCTGCCTTCCAAGTCCTACATTTCTTGTATTGCTACAATAAGATTTTTTTTAATACAATGGGTTTTTAGTATATAGATATGGAATTAAGGAGATGGGGGAATGCAACTGAAAAAATGTAGCTGCTGGTCTCCCAAACTGTTGCAAGATTCCAGAACATTAGATGTATTAGGCTCTGTTATAGCCACACATTTTTGCTATTAACAAAAGTGAGTACTGTATAACTAAAATTATTTCATGAATAGATCACATACAGATCATCCAATTGTTCTAAAGATCAAAGGATACTGGCAATCTCTTCAAGCAGATAACCTGGGCATGGAACTTCATCATCTGAGGTGCCTTTGATTAGAGTGGGTAGCTGAAGAAAAGAACACACATATGCAAAAAAAGTCACTTTTTCCTAATATATAATTGTTAGTATCTACAATCAACGGCACCATGAGGCAATACAGAGAGACATAGCAATAAGAAAATACAGGTAGCCTAATAGTATCATTTCACGAATAAGGAAGCATTACTATCGGAGTTCATTCTTTGTAATAGAATATGGCATACCCTGATAGTAGAAAAAAGTATTTTATATTTTACAATATTTACAAATGTATTTTATAAATTTTAGTTGGTATAAGAAAAGAATGAAGCCTGTATTTTCTCTGCCCAAAAAGGGCAAAAAAACCCCATCTCCAAATGCAGACAGAAGAAAAATCTTTGCTTCCAAATGCTTAAATGATTATTTCATTTCAAACAAACTTAACCTAATACAATGTGACTTCCCTGCACAATGGCTGACATCTCTTCACGTTATCACTGGTTATTTTTGAGGCAGCTAGTAACACCTCTTTTTACAAGTAGGTGTCATCCTATGTTTGCACTGCTAAGTGGAACTTTACTATCACCACTTGTGGCTAGTCCCTTGCTGGATTTATTATCTGGCTAGTATAATTTATCCATCTTCTTCAAAAAATGTTTATTTCAATTAAATTCTCTGGTAGCAGTATAAAGCAGAGAAGAAGTGGCACTGTAAGCCACTAATATTGTATCGCTGACATATAGCATAGCATCTGTAAAAGTAAAGTATTGATGTTGGGATGAAAACTATTGGTGTCTTTATTTTTTATCCCACTTCACATATGCTTCTGGTCTCATAGCCCTTTATAGACTGCATTACTTCAGTGTTAGTAAATATAAAACATATGTTTTAATGCTTTACAAATAAATCAAGGCCTGATGTTATTGAAAACAAAGAAACAAGCCTCCATGGAAAGAATGATTCTGCAAGTCTTTTCAATGCCGCAGCATGCAACATACAAGCTCCACGTCTACACCTTGCACTGATAAAATAGTCCATAATCCATATTTATTTTCTTCACTGCCTTATAATGCCAAAGTATCGAGCTATCAAAAGAACTGAAGCATCTAATACATCTCTAGAAAAAAAAAAACTTCATCATAACTTCATCTGCCTTCTTGACCTCCACCCTACCGCAGAGATTTTAGGGTAAATTAATACTCTAGATCTCCACACGCCCCGTCCCTAAGCAGGTATCGTATTATCCACGCTAACCCGAGTCAAGAAACTCAGCCGATCTCGCAAAGGGACAGCCGCCATGGTGACTTCCGGGTTCAGCCATATGCTTCAACACCCCGCCTCCTGGGACGGCAGGTACTCCAATCGAACGGCGACCCTATCCCGATCCAGCCAATCACGTGCTTCGGCAAACAGCTGTCTCCGTCGTCATCAGACGCCGCCAGCGAACGGCGAGAGCCAAGACCCGCGGCTTTCCATTTCTCGTCCAATCGGAAGCTTCTGGCGCAGAACGGGACCCAATCAGGGGAGAGGGAGCGTGGAGCCGTTTCCCCAGTTGGGAAAGCGGGGTCGTGTTTAAGGCCCGGCTGGAGGCCGATGGTGGAAAGGCGAAGGCCGGTTAAGAAAGCGCTGCTTCGAGGAAGCTGCTTCGAGCCTGGTGATGGCCGCGCCCAGCCGATAACTGGGGAGGCTGCTGGCTTTTACTCTTCCGAATATGTCCAGTCGAGCAGTCTGGGAGCGCGTCCGAGCGAGGGTGCAGCGCTTCCCTGAGCTGCTGGCGAGTTGTGGGGAGCAGGTAGGGAAGGGGCAGATTGCAGGGGCAGCATCCCCTTCGCCTCAATCCACACGCTCAGCATTTAGGGGAAACCGTCCTGGAGCAAATCTGCTTGTGTGGTCGCTAGGACTCGAAAATGGCTTGATGGCATAATAATAATAATAATAATATAATAATAGTAATAATAATAATAATAATAATAATAATAATAATAATAATAATAATAATAATAATAGTAGTAGTAGTAGTAGTAGTAGTAGTAGTAGTAGTAGTACCCAAAGGGCTACCCCACTGTTTAGAAATTCTAAATTTACCGGACTTGAACATTTTGACTACAAAAAACCACCTTTCTCGGAACAGCTTACATCCTCTTACATACCTTAACAGTTCCTAGGTCCTTGGTTAGGATTCGAGCTGCTGAGCTATTAACCAGCCTCAAAGGCTGTGAATCTCACTACAGATTAACCAATAATAATAATAATAATAATAGAAGAAACATGTAACAGTGATACCCATTGTCATTGGGGCACTTGGTACCATATCCAAGAATTTTATAAGATACATCAACAAATTGCAGCTTCCTGCAATAACACCAGCGGAACTGCAAAAAACTGCGCTACTCGGAACATCGTACATCTTAAGAAGGTACTTGGTTGATACCTTGAACGCTGGCAGGAACCCGTATCAACCATTAGCACCAGTCAATGGTATTCGTGATGCATTTTTGAATGTTCAGTTGACTGCATTTCATGTTTAATGAACAAAAGTAATAATAAAATTAATTGCAATAACACCAGCGGAACTGCAAAAAACTGTGCTACTTGGAGCATCATATATTTTAAGAAGATACTTGGTTGATACCTAGGACGCTGGCAGCAACCCGTATCAACCATTAGCATCAGTCAATCGTATTTGTGACACACATTTAAATAATCAGTTGACTGAGTTTCATGTTTAATGAATAAGAGAGATAATACGGTAATAATAATAAATAATAATAATAATAATAATAATAACTTCCATCCTGTAACACTGTGAAACATCCAAATTTGCCTATCCCAGGTCCTTGGTAAGGACTCGATAGGTAAACAAAAATGCCAAACCCAGTCTGAACATCTGGCTGACTGTGTGATGATCAGTAATAACAACAGCAACAAGAATAATAATAATATAGGAAAGGGAAGCTAGATGGGTTGCGCTCCTGATGGGAAGGAAGTAAAGAGTGTCAATTGCCTCTGATTTAACATCCAGGTGTTTTTCAAACTTTTCAACTTTTGAGACGTGTGGACTTCAGCTCCCAGAATTCTCCAGCTATGTAGCCCCAGAATTTCCCATAATGTCTGGGGAATTGTGGGAGTTGAAGCCTACACATGTTAAAATTTGACAAGTTTAACTAATAAAAGAGAATGTTTGTTGACAAGTTTGAAAAACATTGAATTATAGATCTAAGCTGCATGGGGCTTGGGATCATCAGTATGCTGTTCATACTCAATTCTACTTCTCTTCCATGCTCGGGAAGTGAGGCTGTTTAAAGGGTGGCTCAGTGCCCTAGAAGCTATAAGGTCCTGGATGGGGAGGAGCTGACTGCAATTCAACCCTAGCAAGACAGAAGGGTTGTGGGTCTTTGTGTTCCTCCCCACTGCCCCCACTGGACCAGAGAGTTGACATTTCTGACTCTGGATGGGGTAACATTTAGGGCCCTCCTGGAAAGCAGGTGACTCTGCTCCAGCTGTGCTGGAGGGGAGGACTTTACACAAATTAATCTTGTGCACCAATTGCACCCACTCATACCTCAGTCACTTCCCATTTGGATTACTGCAACACACTTTATATGGGGCTGCACTTGACCATTTGGAAGCTGCAACTGGTTCAGAATGCAGAGCCACACAGTTTAGGGTGCCCTGCACCTGATTAACACCACAGTTGTGTAAGCTGCAGTAGCTCCCAGTTACTCTCTGGATGCAATTTAAAGTGCTGGTTACCATCATCTTTAATACACTGTATATGGCCCAAAGCTGGATTATTGGAAGAACTGCCCCTCTCTGCCCATCCTACTAGGATAGATAGATAGATAGATCCACTCGAGATTCTCTCCCTTAAATGTCAGTTGATGGGCCCTCAAAGGTACATCTCTGGCCACTACATTGGAATAGCCGCCTATATGAGAGATTCCTACCCTTTTAGTCTTCCAGACGTTGCTGTGACAATTGGACCAAGATGGGGTTGAATTGGGAGGCTGTTTGGTCTGGAACCTAAAGGGAAGGGTACTTTTGTTTTATCGGTGTTTTTATGGATTATGAGCTACCTAAAGTCATTATGTGAAGCAGCCATATAATAAGTTCCAAAAGTAAGGAAGTAAATAAATAAATGTCAGAAAGAAAGAAAAAGAGAGAGAGAGAGAGAGAGAGAGAGTTGGTCTTTCAAGGTGTGACTGCTGTCTGTTCAGGATCCGGTCCCTTTCTGAACTCTTGTATGCAAGCATGTATTTGTATGTAGTCCCTTTTTTTAAAGGGAGAGCACTGCACAATTTGCCTTTGCTGTGCTGGGGAACAGATCCTCCTATCAGGGTGAATTGTCTTGTAAGGTCTGAATAAAACAGAATGGTATGAGTTAATCCTATTCCTTTGAGTAAAGTTTGGCAGAGATTAGAAATCTCTAGGTGAATTAAAAGCCAAAGTGGAACAAATTGGAAAAACCAAATACATACCCAGACCAGAATAGTACATTATTATGTCCATGGTATCTCATAAGCACTGTGCCTAGGGTCTACTAAACTTTTGTTGTTTGTGAAAATATTTTAAGCTACAAACAAAAAACTGCAAAACCAGGACATGTGAAAAGTAACAGTAAAATAAAATTCCATATATCCTAAAATTGAGATATTTATTACGTATGTACTTACTTGACTAACTCCTTGTGACTTACTGAAGAATATACTGTAGGTCTCTGGTTATACCTTTGTATTCTTAAGCACCTGAATCATTACTGCAGTAAAGGCCTACAAAGATAAAACTTGCTTAGGGCTTACCAGAGTTTTAATGTGCCTTGCAGTCTGCATCTAATTAGAGCTGATATTTGCAGGCCTCAGTTTATGGCAAATGTATTGCTTCCAATACTACCGAACATGGAAACTTGAAAAAGGATGTGTGTGCCAAGGAATTTGCAATGCTGATGGATTGCTTCACAGAGGCTGTGAGTTGTTTGCATTTTGTTTTTCATTTCACATGGTTAACTTTTCATTTGGGACCCGGTTAGGAGCAAAACATGCTCTAAATAAAGAGGTATATACAGTAAATACACAATAAAACATGTACTGTTGTCCTCTTTTCTATTTTTGGTAGCTGGAAATGTAGAATGCTGATCAAGAAATCGTGGAAACAATCCTAGTTTACAGCATAGGACATTAAAGTTCTCTCCATTCCCACCTCCCCCTTATTTTACTCTTGCTGCAAAGAATTTATAGCACCTACAAATTGAAAAGAAGTTCAGTAGTAAATAACATCAGCAGCTGCTAGAACGTTTTCTTTTCTTTTAGGATTACCACACTGAATTGTTCTTTCTTGTCTGTTATACATTTTTATAGCTTTTAGGCTGTAGTGTCTTTCAGTGTATCCAAAAACTTCATACTTGTAAGAAGGCACCTGTTTATACAGATAGTCCTTGGATTATGACCATAATTGACCCATTTAATGACCTTTCTTGCCACAATTGTTAAGTGAATTGCTGCAGATGTTAAGTTAGTTACGCGGTTGTAAAGTGAACCTGGTTTTCCCATTGACTTGGCTTGTCAGAAAGTCACAAAATGGGATCACATGATCCCGGGAGACTGCGATCGTCATAAATACACATCAGTTGCTAAGCATCCAGATTTTGATCACATCACTATGGGGATACTGCAATGGTTGTAAAGGTGAAAAACAGTCAAAAGTTACTTTTTTCAGTGCCGTTGTAACTTCAAACAGTCACTAAGTGAATGTTTTTAAGTTGAGGACTACCTGTATTTGAAATTCAGGAGGTGGTAAGAGGTCTGCTAATCAGTCCTGCTGCTAGAAAACCACATTACCCAACAGAAACATGTGAACTTATCTGAAACCTACTGGTGCTATCATGGGATTTTGTTCATTTAGTTAATATCTTAGTTTGACCAAAGAAACTTCTAAAAGAAACTACTAAAGTAAAAAAATCACTAGTGTGATTTTCTTTGGGACAAGCTTATCATCCCAGTTAATATGGAAGTTAAGAGAATCTATGTATTTAGATATACAGGTAGTCTGTGACTTACAACCACCATTGCTAAGCATAACAGTTTTAAGTGAGTTGCACCCCATTTGACAACATTTTTTTTGCCATGATTGTTAAGCAAATCACAGCAGTTAAGTGAATCTGATTTTCCCCCCATTGACTTTGCTTGTCGGAAGCCAGCTTGGAAGGTTACATGACCTCGGGACACTGCAACTGTCATAAATACATGCCAGTTGCCAAGCGCTCCAATTTTGATCACATGACTGGGGGGATGCTGCAACGATTCTAAGTGTGAAAACTGGTCATAAGTCACTTTTTTTCAATGCCATTATAACTTTGAATGATCATTAAATGAATGGTTGTAAGTCAAGGACTACCTGTACCATATTTGCTTTGCATGTTAAATGTTATAAGAATGATAGCAGACAACTGATCCATTTCAAAATCTCATTGGCCTTATGCTACAGGATATATTGATATGAATATATTTACATAATTCTTAATATTTATTCTAACAAAATTGATCTTTCTTTGCAGGCAAAAAAAAATGTAAAGACTTGAAATGGATACTGATGGCAAATCTGGGATTTATAGTTGTTTTCAGCACCGAAGAATAAAGAACTTTTCCATCTGTCATTATATTGAGGTCCAGAAATGGAATATTTCCCAATGTGCCAAGAGCTAATGGCTTTTCAATTTATGCATGTATGTACTGTAAGCACATTCTGGAAAACTTTTTTTAAATGTAAAACTCAGTGTGTCGGGGTTTTAATTTAAACGAGATGAGCAGTATAATTTTTCAGAGTGGCAAGAGGCAAAGTTCAAGGCTGAGAAGTATAAAGCCAGAAAATATATAAATACCATTTAATTCAGATTTTTGTAATGTTAGAATTTCTATTAGCAAATATGTCAGGTTCCCTTTGGTAAAATATGACATTAATATACCAGCGGCCTTTTCCTATCAGTGGAATGTCTGTTAAATTAGCTACTTGTACCAATTTTGCCCTGAGGATTTACTAATTCCCTTCTTATTTACAGGAATAAAATAAGATACTTCTGTAGATCTTGCTTAAGATACTTTATATTGTTAATTCCAGCTCCTGAAAATCTGGGGCAAAGAAAGCCCAGAGTGGCCAACTCCTTAACAGTCATTGGTCATTTACCCAAAAATATCCAGTTATGGTATATAAAAAATCCTGATATTTGCAACTTTGAATATTTGATTTCCCTTCAGAATATGAATTTCCTCACTAAAGCTTTGGGGAAAAAAATCTAATCAGTGAAATTGCCTAAGGACCAAAATGTGTTTGCGTATATGTGCCAAGGTTCCACGGAACAGCTCAAAATCTGAATAATAATAATATGAAGATTGGGACAGAGCTGTACCTCTTGGTTGGCTAGGAACGCTAGCCCTCCATGTTAAGGTTCCAGAATTTCTAAAACTCCTAAGGGATTTGTCGGACTGTGCTCAGATCTAGAGACAAATATCAACTAGGTGGATTTCTAGAATGCAACTTTGGTCACAAAACACAAATGTTTATCTTTGTATTAATATATGTTTGTGAAAATATTAAATGGAAGCAGTTTGGTCTAGTGATTAAGGCCCCAGGCTAGAAAGATGCAAACTGTGAATTATAGTCCTGCTTTAGGCATGAAAACTGGCTGGCTGATCTTGGGCCAGTCACTCTTGGCCTATAATGTCAGGCTCAGGCAACAAGCTGGTTCATTGGTCAATTCCTGTCGCAACCAATGGACCAACATTAGTTGATTTGAGGGGAAAAGAGGGGGGGGGGACACTGCCCTTGTAGGAAAAAAGTTTATGAAAGTATTAAATATCATATATCAGTATCTTTTACAAATCTGTCAGTTCATTATGACCATGTCTTAGAAAATAATTGGATTGTACTCTAGCTGAGAACAAGTACGGTAGTTTTCATGAGGGTGATTAATAATATTGAAGCTAGAAGTGAGCTAGTTTTGTTGATGTCATCCAAAATGAAACCAGAGTGTAAAAGCTAAAAAGTGCATCAAGATCAACAGATATTTCCTCAACCATGTATATTGTCTGCAACTAAACAGTCTTGCTGGTCCTTGTGTTGTGTAAACAGCTATTTCCAATAAGAAAAAAAAAAGGCTGGTAAAATGCTTCAGGTTTTTTTTTTTTTATTGATTTGTGCAGGTTAGCCATAATCCCTGGGACTGGTCATTGTACAACACTGCAAATTGGACATTTTGCTGTGGTAGCAAGCAATCCAGGGCTGCCGCCTTCAGTCTTGTGTCTTTTTTTGTAATTGCTTGGAGATGGATTGTTTTAAAAACTTGAGTCGTTCTGTGGAGGAATGCCAGAAGTATCTTTGGTCCTTCGATTATAGCAGACGGTCACACTGTGGCCAGAGAAAGCATGACAGGGCATTCACAGCCCTTCGCATTAAAGCAATTTGACTGATATTTACAAATTTTTTTAAAATAAATCATATTTACATACTGAAGTAACAGAGATCCAACCATAAACTACCGTAATTGTGCTTTGGGCAGCACTGTTCAATGGTTGTGTGGAATATCATACTAATCTGTCTTTCCCCAACTAACTCCCCCCACTCCACCTTTTTAATTCCAAGATGCCCAGCCAACTCAGAGAATAGCAAAACATCTGGGGATTTTGGGTTAGGAAATGTTGCTCTCAGTCACAATTAAACCCAGCAATAAACAAGCTGATGTCTTTCAAGTTTTTTGGGGGCTATAACACCTTTAATCACTGGTCATGCTGATTGAGTGTATGGGTTTTGTAGTCCAAAATGACTAAAACGATCAGCTTGGCTATTCCTGGTTTAGTGCAATGATAATGAATCTACCACACATATATTGTTCTCAAATATGGCTTGCAAGGAGTTTGAAATCTAGTTTCTGTTGAGCCATGACAGCGCTAACCATAGTTTGATACACAAAGACCATAATTTTTTTAAAAAACTAATTGACCAAACAGAAGCTCAAGCTTCCAAACACCATGTGGCCTTTGGTGGTGGAGGCCTGGGAGGAGAATTATAGGTAAGATAAAGGCCCTTTGTAGCTTATTACAATCACCTAAAATCACAGTTTAATATGATGGTCAAACAGGACCAATGAGATGCCTGAGGAAAAGTTACAACAATGTAACAAGGAAAAATGCCCCTTGCAATAGTCAAATGGTACCAGCCACATTTCTGTCTCCCTGAATGGAAATATAGCAAATACACTTGACAGGAAAGATACGACAATGGCACTGCCCCCCCCTCCCCGCGGCCCATCTCAATTTCATGTTGTAGGCCAAGCTACATCCGCTTTATTATTTTTCCCTTCTTGTTCTAGAACATAAACTGATAACTGACTTTGATAGTTAACCATTTATAGCCAAATTCCAAATATCTTTGGATATTAGTGACGATCAAATGTCAAGAGCTTAAATTTGCTGTATCATTTGTTAACACAATCCTTGGGATGGTTAAGGATACCTAGAACAAATCAATTGTGTTAAAATGTCAAAGCTTGCCAACTCTTAAGACAGGACTAACAAATTTCACATACTAGAGTCTCCCAAAAAACTGGAAGGGATGTAGGGGGACAAACTTTAAGTTACCCTATATGCACTCATAAAACGGAGGAAAGAGGTAGATGGCCTACTCTGATAGCGTCCCCTTGAAAAAATTTCATTTAAACAAGCATCTTGCAAGGCTTTTATACACAGTATGGTTCCATAATGCACTTGAGACAGGTATGTTTTTTTAAAACAGACCTATATTTTGATAACCAAAAATGAAAGTCCTTTCATGAAAATGAAAGGAAAAAGGTTACTTTTATTATTGCTAATACTGGACCTGGTTGAAGAAGATCAGAGCAGTTTGTAAGTCATAAAAATGCACTTGTTAGCAATCAAGTCCATATTAAGAATTTATCTTTGAAGAGATGCTCCCTTTTCAGACGTTTACAGAACTTCTTTCATCTTCTTGCAACCATTTCCAAAAGCCAAATCAACCTATTTAGCAAACGGCAGAACACAAAAATCCAAACATTAATTTAAGGGAGGATAACGTCCACATACCCGATAAAGGGATTTTCCAATGAGATAAAATAACAGATAAGTCAACAGACTAATCCTAGACACAGAAATTAAACAATTAAAAATATCTGAGCAGGAATAAAAATGTACATGCTTCTTTGGAAAGATGGCGAGCGTAAAGCGTTTTCAGAACCCAGAAAATAGATGAATTTGGGTTTTGCACACAAGCTACCAGCAGCGTGAGGAGAGACCATTTTGAAGAATGAAATTGGCTGCCAGCATGGAAATTCCTCTTTCCTCCAGAGCGAACAATGTTCAGTCACTGGGGCTCAGTTCAGATCGAGCCAGTTGACCTGGGCTGCCAACGGTTATATACCGATGGCAGTTAGCCGCGTAATAGACAGTTTTAAGCAGCTGGTGGATTCCTACATTTCCTCAGAGTGTGGAGACTTTCACGCCTCTTCTTCTCCCTCTGGTATTTGTTTAATCTGTCGGCTGTGAAGAGCTTGCTGGGCACCTTCTGCTGCCTGATTGAACCTACTGTCTAATGCACTACGGAGGTCATTGACTTTCACATCTGGGACGGGGTTAAGTCCAAATATTACACCTCCCACCTCTTCTTCCAGATCTCGCCTTTTGCGGCGCAGGTCCAGGTCTGCTTGTAGCTTGAGGTCTCTGTTGGGTTTGGCCTTTTCATAATCCCTGGACTCAGGCCTAACTATGTCTGCCTGTAAGATATGGTCACTGTCAGCTTCTTGCAAGCTCTCTGGGATCCTTTGCTCTCTCTTTGAATCATGCCCTTGATCATTGGCATTACTCAGCTGTGGATGATGGGCTCCAGTGGCCGTCCTCTCTTTATTCTTGGCCCCCTGGCCCTGTAATCTGTCAACCTGGTCCAAAGGTATTTCCCTACCTTTCACAGTTTCCTGGACCTCTAATTTCTCTGGTATGTTATTAGCAATCTTTGGTTTAAGTGGAATGTCTGGGTCATGGAAGTCTTTTTTGACCTCCTTGGCAAGGGACTCGCTGTCAGAAGCTCTATGAGGAATCTTTCCCTCAGCACCATGGATGTTGACTACCTCTGGTATCTCTCTTTGGCTTTCAGCCCTTTTCACAGCCTCCTTTCTTTTCTCAACATCGTCTGCCACTTGAATCTCCTGCCCTTTCAAATCTTCAGCCTTGGCTTGCTTTTCCTGGTGGGGTCCATCAGGCCTAGCTATCTGTGAATCACTCCTGACTGGCTCAAACTCCTCTTTGTGGTTTGCATTAGCTTGGTGTTGTACAATTTTCTCATCATCGTTTATTTGAGCCATAAGATTTTTAGGAGGAATTTCAGTTAATTTGTTTTGTATAGGCTTTAAATCTCCTGGACCAGTATCCTGCTGTCTTTTAATTTCATCAGGATCTTGGGGCTGGTTCTCGGGCAGATGCAAAGGATGACCCAGGTTATTGTTTGGTATATTCTTTGGAACATTTTCAATTTTGTTGTCGAGGTGATCTCTCTCTTTACTCTTGGTCAAAGGTAGGCCATGTTCCAGCTGGATTTCTATTGCAAAGAGAAGTGGAGAGCTCTCAGTTACTGCATACGCAATTTAGCAAACTAGAAAACGCTTATCACCAACAAAACAAGTTTACCCAGAGGCCCTTGGGGAGTCACTCAGTACCCTCCCCACTACATCTGACTACGAAAATTACTGCATTAATTGTAAAATTATAAATAAGATGTAAGCATGTGTCTTAAGCAGTACCTTCTGTTTTATAGTTTAGAATCTTCCTATAGTTTTGAAACAAGTGCTGGGGTGCATGGAGATTTCAGACTCTAATCTTTTTCCTTCTACTTCACTAACTCCCCAACTCCTAGCAAGCACCTGGATGAAGCTATCTATCTGGACCCATACCAGTCGGGCTTCAGGCAGGGGTACAGCACAGAAACGGCATTGGTCGCATTGGTGGATGATCTCTGGAGGGCTCGGGACAGGGGTTGCTCCTCTGTCCTGGTCCTATTAGATCTCTCTGAGGCTTTTGATA